GTCGAGGAGAAGCGGCCTCAGCTCACCCAGGAGGAGCTGGAAGCCAAGCAAGGTGTGTCCGTGTGTTCTGTTTTTGGCTTTTGTTAATCCTCACCCGATGTTTGTCCATTGATTTCTATAGAGAGAGTGGAAGGAGGAGGGAGAGAGACCAGGAGAGAGACATCAGTGAGAGAGAGACCATCGAGTGCTGCCTCCTGCACGTGCCGCCCAGGACCTGCCTGGGAGGAGCCTGCAACCAGGCACCTTCCCTTGACTGGAGTCAAACCCAGGACCCTTCCATCCTCGGGCCAACACTCTACCCACTGAGCTACACAGTGTGTTAAACTCGCTGGTTGACCTGCTGAGTCGGCAGTGCTGAGGCTGCGACCTGGCGGCCCGCTGGGAGGTGGGATGCTTTGCACCGTGGACAGCTCTCTGTCAGCCTCAGGCAGGCGGGGCAGGTTCCCACTCTCCCCGCTGTCCTGTGTGGAAGCCCACCCTCCATCTGACTGATTTTGAAAGTGAATCTAAAAATGCTGCTAATAAGCATTGTAACTAGTTCTTTCAAAATGCATTTGGTCTGATTTGTTTGCCTGTCCTGACATGTCAGTCTCGCTCCTCTTTTAAAATAACCGCTGTGGTGGTGCCCTCCTCCCGCTGTGGGAATTAGGAGAGCGGGTCTGAGAGCGCTGCTGGCTCTGACGTCGCTCTCCTCTGTCTGTTCCTTCAGCGAAGCAGAAGCTGGAGGACCGCCTGGCCGCCGCCGCCCGGGAGAAGCTGGCCCAGGCGTCCAAGGAGTCCAAGGAGAAGCAGCTGCAAGCGGAGCGGAAGCGGAAAGCCGCTCTGTTCCTGCAAACCCTGAAGCACCCTGCGCCAGAGGCCGAGCTCGGGAAGGCCGAGGACAGTCCTTTCACCGTGGAGGTGAGGCCGCGAGGGTCCGAGTCTGCGCTGGGTGCGGCCAGCGAGGCCTGAGTGTGGGCTCCCCCGGCCGCTCGGCTCCAGCCTCAGGGGGCTCTCCGTCACTGTCAGACCCGGCTTCGGGCCTGGGCCCTGGGGCTCTGCTTTGTGGCTCTCGCAGGGGCCGGGCAGTGTCCCCGCTGCACTCAGAGCAGATCTCCCGCTCCGTCCTGAGCGGTGCTCTGTGTGGGTCAGAGAGCCCTGCAGGCTGTGACCTGCCGCTGCTTCCCGGAGTCCCCTCCCCCACGTCGCAACCGCCTTCCCTCCTGGGCAAGGGCCCTGCCTCTCTGCTGTAATTACGTCCCATTCCTAAGAGCCGGGCCTGTGAAACGGGGTTTGCTGCACAGGGCCTGTTGGTTTGCTTCCTGAGCAGAGCGGCCTCCTGGCTCAGGTGCTCAGCTGGTTGGTGCTCTCGCCTCAGGGTCGGTCTGAGACTGTCAGAAACCCCTGCTGGAGTGGGAGGGAGAGCAGCGAGTGTGGTGTGGGGCCTGTCGGGGGCTGTGCTGTGGGCCCTGCTGAGCCCCGCCCACGGGGACTGCGTTCTCTGCTCCCCGAGGCACATCCAGGCTGAGTGTGGCTGGTAGAGGCACGTGGGGAAGACCTCCAGGCCGGGAGGGTAAGGAGGAGCAGCTCACGTGATCACTGACGCTGTGCAGAGAGGAGGGAGCGCAGGGCCCTGGCCAGTATGCTCAGTGGTAGGGCGTCGGCCGGAGCACCACAGCGTCGCAGGTTCGAATCCTCCAGGGCACGTCCCTGGGTGGCAGGTTCCGTCCTCAGCCCCCGTCGAGGTGCATGTGGGAGACAGCCAGTCGCTGTGTCTCTCGCTGATGTTTCCCTTTGGCCCCTGCCCCCTTCCCACTCTAACAATCAGTGGGAAAACCAACTCCACAGAAGGACTGACAGCAAAACTGACAGGAGAGCAGAGTGTCAGCCACGCCCACTTTCTGGCTGCAGCTGCAGGAATTACCTCACAGCCGGGCCGAAGCCTGAGCCACTTTCATTCCCTTTACTGCGCCCGTGTCAGGTGTGCAGTGAGTGAAGGGCTTAATTAAAAGGCATCTGCATACAGGAGGCCTCCCGGTTATACCACGGCCGCATCTGTCTTTCCGGGCAACTGTGTTTTCATGAGAGCTCGGTCCCCCCCAGAGCCGTCACCCTCAGCCCTGCGTTCCCCATGCTGCCGCGTCACCTGCCGCAGCCCCCGGCCCTGTCCTTGTGAGGACGGCAGGCGGTGCTCCCGTCACCTCTGAGCGTCTCCCCCCGTGTTCCAGCGAGTGTTGTGCGTCTGAGACGCAGGCTGAGTGTTTATGCCTCTTGTTTAAATCACGGGGTCGATCCTGCTGGGAGTCTAGTGGGGGAGATTGTCGCTACTGAACGATTTCTGCAGGAACGCGTGGCACTAGCAGACGGTGATAAATGCCTTTAATTGCTTTGAAACAAAAATACTGGAATTAAATTGGCAATTGTCACAAATGAGATTCACACTCGGAAATATTTCCAGCCTAAAGCAGCTTCTGAGACGGTGTCCTGGCTCCTCCAGTGTCCGGGTGCAGGGCCCGCAGGCCCCAGCGTACGCGGCAGGGCTTCAGCCCGCAGAGCGACTGGGACTTGGGGGGCCAGCCCCCATCTCTGGTGCACGTGTGTTCTTATTCCAGTGAGAGCACCCTGTGCGTTTCCAGGTGATGTGACGGGCCCTCGGGGGTCCTGTGCAAGGCGGCCCTGAATGGGAACGGGGTTGCTCTGTGGGCTCGTCCGCCCCGGCGGGCTGCTGAGCCTGGCTGGTTCCTGCTCCTGTGCCCGCGGCCTGCGGCTGGAGGAGGGGCTCCGGTGAGGGCGCTGGGCTGGTTCACCCTGCGGCCGGCTGAGTGAGCTGGGTCTTGTTGTGGCCACAGCTACCAGCTTCGTGTTTCTCTTTCGAAGTCATTTTCCGAGCGGCACCGACATCCGTAAACACCGATGTGGGGGCTGAGGAGTCTCTTTTGGTGCAAAGTCGCCATTGTGTATGAAAGAGCGAGTGTGGCTCTCGTCCTAGCGCAGTGTCTGTTTGTCAGGTCCGGCCGCCGTGGCTTATGGGTGGGAGGGGTCCTTCCGGGTCTGGGGAGCCGTCTGTTCCCGTGAGGCCTGCGCTGGTTCAGAGCCGCGTGGAGAGACGTGGTCCCTGAGGTGTCGCTGCATCTGGTGTGAGGGCCTCAGCAGTCGTGTGAACGGACGTTTTCAAACGCCACGTTGTCTTTGCTTCTGCTCCCAGGAAGCCAGCCCCGTGGCCTGCCCTCTCCTGAGTGGGGGCCGACCTCTGCCGCTTGTCGACGTGAAACCCCCGGAAGGGCCCTCGAGCAAAAGCAGAGACCCTCCCCGAGAAGAAGAGAGAGAGAAGAAGAAGAAGAAGCACAAAAAACGGTCTCGAACAAGGTCTCGCTCCCCCAAGTACCACTCGTCGTCCAAGTCCCGGTCTCGGTCCCACTCGAAGGCGAAGCACTCCCTGCCCAGTGCCTACCGCACCGCGCGGCGCTCCAGGTGGGTGTGCGTGTGTCTGTGTGTGTCGGGGGTGGGGGTGCGGGGGGGTGCATCCTGCAGGCCCAGACGAGCTCTGGAAAATATTTCTATGCCCTGGCAGGGGCTCTGTTAGTCGGGGTGCATGTAGGAGGCAACCCATAGGTGCTTCACATTGACGCTTCTCTCTCCTCCTTTTCTCTCTCTCTCTCTCTAGAAAAAAATCAATAAAAACCTCCTTGGGTGAGGATTTTAAAAAAGAAAGTATTTTTTATTTTCTACTTAACTCTAAACCTCACGAGCTACTGGCAGGTTTTTAAGGAGATTTATCAAATTCCAACAGGCCCTGGGGGACGCACACATGGCCGTGGGCTGACTGTGAAACGCCCTGGGCTGGGGTTTGTGTTTAAAGGCGTGGACTTCCCTCGCGCCCCGATGCCTGTGGGTGTGACGGTCAGGGCAGCGGAGCCTGTGCCGCGTCCTCCCATCTGCTCCGCACCAATTGTGACCCAGAGGGGCTCCGCGGCTCAGCACTGATTGGCCTCCCGCCAAGAGCCACTGTTGCACTAGGTGCTGCCTTTGCCGGGCCAGGTTTTGATAGAGCAGCTGAGCTTAGCGTCTCAGGCCGCAGAGCTCACTCCTGGTAAAGCAGCTTGTTTGTTTTTAAGTAGCTGCTTCGGGCTCAGAGAGACAGTTTCCAGCTCTAAACCTTGGGGTGTTCGGTGACGGCCTTTCTCCTGTGGCTGTGGGTCCTCTCCCGTGGGAAATGCAGGTGTGTAAGCTCTGTGCTTGGGCACAGCTGCCTGTCAGCGTGTTTAAGGGTTCGTCTGACATCACGTGGTGGACACGGATAGTGTCGGCCTCGGGCCTCCGAGCGGTGACTGGCCAGGAGCTCCCACCTGCCTGCGTCCCAGGCACAGCCGGGACGTCTGCTCCGCGTGAACCCGCCGGCTGCTCGCTGTGAAGGCGGTCGGCCTCTTCCTGAGGCGGGAGTTCCGCTTTCACGTCGGGTGCGAGCGCAGTCCAGCCCCGGGGTCTGTGGGCCCGGGACTGCGGGTGGCCCTGCGTCATTTAGCGAGGACGTGCAGGTGTCAAAGCGAGTGGACTTCCTCATGCCGAGTTCATTGTAGAATTCCCCGTGGAGCGTCCGCGGTGCCGGAGCTTTGTCTAAGCAGAGCTTTCCTCGGGGTCTGGTCCCGCCAGCCCAGCCCATGTTCTTGTGAGTGTGGCGTGTGCCTGGGTCACACCCTCCCCCCTCCCCCCGGGGCACCACACGCGCCCGTCACAGCCACTCCAGGGCGGCTGCAGAGCAGGCAGTTCCCACGTAGATTGTGACCTCGAGCAGATTGGCCTGGAGAACCTGGGACAATGACTGCCCTCCCCTTTGTACCTGTCGCATGAATCTTAGCAAAGGCGGGCGGGGGGGGAGACAACACACAGAACCTTTGAGGAGCAGCTCTGCGGGGGGCCTCCCGACGGGCAGTGTTCCCGGGTGACTGGGAGTGTGGTCGTACACTGGTCTTTAGAACAACAATGTGTTGTTTTGAGCATTTTATTGTAATTAAATGATTCAATGTAGGATTTTTTTAAACTGGCAAAATCAAACTGCTCTTCTTGATTGTTTTCTGAGTGGGTTGTCATAGAAACAGAACAAGAAGAAACTGGGTGTTTTTTTTCCATTTCTGCTTATTGCAGGACTTCCCAAACCAGTAATTTCACAGAAAGAACAAAAAACTAGATGAAGGATCCTGGGCCCATCATTAAAGGTCCCTCCGTTAAGGACCGTGACCCTGTGGGAGGGTCTCGAGTGGGAGTCGGTGCCGGGGTCGCAGGGCCTGGTGCGCGTGTCCTGCGGGCACGTGAGAGGAGGATGGGATGTGGATGGGGTCGCACCCGCGATGTCGTCACTGTGATCACTTAGCCTACGTTACCGCGAGGCGGGAGGGCACGGCCGATCGATCGGACCGGAGGTTTGGGCTTCGTGCTGAGGAGCACAGGCCACGCCCCCTTGCGTCCCAGTGTCCCTGTTGCCATGGCGCACTGGGATCTCCTTGCTTTCCTTGCCTGGCTTTGGTAGAAGCCGCGGGAGCAGAAAGAGGCAGGGCGGAGGCTGCAGGCCCGAGTCAGGGCTGTGGCACTGGGGCCGGCACAGCTCCAGTGCAGAGTGCGCTGTGCGCTGCGTAACGTTTAGCGTCGCTGAGGCAGGTGCTCTGGGACGGGAGACAGTGTCCCAGCAGAGCAGTGAGTGGGGCGGGCCTCCGGCAGGCGGTGACTGACAGGCGCCCGTCACCCGCACCCCGGGCCTCGGCAGCCAGCAGGACTGAGGTGCCCGTTCCTCTGCCCAGGTCCCGGTCCCGGTCCCGGTCGCCTCGGAGAAGAGCTCACTCCCCCGAGAGGCGGAGGGAAGACAGAAGCGTGCCCACCGCCTACCGGGTGGGCAACAGCCCGGGCGGCAGCAGGAAGCGGACCCGGTCCAGGTAGGCAGCTGGGGGCTTGGGGAGGGCCTCGCTCTGAACAGGCTGCAGGTCCTGGGAAGCCGCTGCTTTGGCGAACGCTGGGCCCCTAGCAGCCCTTCTCCCTGTGGGACACGAGCACGGGGCCTGCCGCTGCCCCTCGGGACCACACGCACCGTTGCTGTTGACGGGGAAGATCAGAGGTTCGAGTTTTGAGTAAATTCCAGCAGGTGACTGTGACCAGGCCAGGCCGCAGCTCCCAGCACGGCCCAGGGCCTGTCTTGCCCCTGACCGCCAGCAGGGGCCTGTCTTCGCTGAGGAGAGCGAGGGAGGCCGGCGCCCTTGTCTGAAAGGAGAAGCCGTGGCTGGTGCACCTGGTCTGGGCCTCTGGCACCGCAAGCAGGTCCCCACTCCCCCGCCCAGGGGTCTCTGGGCACTGAGGGCTGATCTCACGCTAGAAGCCCAGGCACCGCCACTGACTGGACAAGACACCTCGGCCTCTGTGCCCGTCCAGGCCTGGGGACCCAGCTGGGAGCCTGGCCCGGACAGGGCTCCCGTTCCTGCCACTTGGCCAAGGGTGCATCTGGGGCTCGTGCTTTATCACATGGCGTGTGAGGTCCTTGTCTGTCCCGCATGGGAGTGCGCAGCCCCGGCTCCAGCGGGTGGGCGGAGCGCCGTGGTCCCGGGGACGGCTGTCCGGGAAAGGCAAGGAGCGGCCGTGCCTCGGAGCCTCCATTTGGTGTTACTTGCTACCAAGTGCGCGTCAGGACCCCGGGTTCCAGACCTTCCAGAGGACGGATCCCACTTCCAGGTGTGAAGCTCACTGCCTGGGACAGAAGACGCAGCCGCCACCTGCCTGTCCACGGGGACCTGGCCGAGCAGCCTCAGGCCCTCCCTCCCCGACAGCTGCCGCTCTGACAGGCCTTGCTCACGGGAACGTTCCCGAGACCGGCGAGCGCTGAGCTCCATTAATTGACAAACGTGACCGCTAAGATGTGACTCCTGAAGCAGGTCATTGTTAACATTTGAAATGCATCATCGCCTTTGGCATATGTCAAAGGCATGGTCTGAAGTTAATTCCTTGTAGCAGAAGCGCTCTCCTGACAGAAGAGTTCTGACTTCGCCCCCAGATTAAGAGATGTGGGAGAAGACGGGGTCACGCTGGGCATTGTGGGGACTCGCCTTCTCTGGGACGTTGAAGTCACGCACAGCGGGCACCAGGGCTCGCCGCCTCCAGCACGGAGCCACCACGCGTCTGACGCGAGTCCCCGCCCACGTGGCAGGAGCATAAAAGCCTATAGAGAGATTCTGGAAAATCCCCAAATATTTGGAAGTGAACACATTTTTAATTAATTGAAGGTCAAAGAAGAAATCACAAGAGAAAGTAGAAAATATGTTTTATTTCAAAGAGGAAGGGAGAGGGAGAGAGAGAAACATCATGGACTGGCTGCCTCCTGCACGCCCCGCACTGGGGATCGAGCCCGCAACCCTTTCTGGGGGAGCTGTGCTTAGAAGGAAGGTGGGAGCTTTGAGTGTTTACACTAGAAAAGGAAGGTCTGAAAACAGCGACCCACTCCTCTGCCTTGAGAAGCTAGAGAAAGAACACACTAAGCACAGACTACACAGAAGCCAGGAAATGATACAGATCAGAAATCAACAACACAAACCAACCGGAAAACAGTACAAGCAAAAGTGGGCCTTTGGAAATGATAAGAAAATTGGTAAATCTTTATGTGGCTTGATCAAGAATGAAGGATCCTGCAGACATTATTAATAAGGAAGTAAAATGTTATTTGTTCGGCTCAGTGGGTAGAGCGTTGGCCCATGGACTGAAGGGACCTGGGTTCGATTCCGGCCAAGGGCACGGGCCTCAGTAGCAGCTCCTCCCGGCCGTGGTTGGGCTCTGGGGAGGCAGGTGCCCCTGTGTGACGGGTGCTGGGCCAGGAGAGCAGGCAGAGGAATGACAGCTCAGAGGTGGAGAGGGAACGGTGGGCTTCACATAGACACGCACTGACATACGTGTGTCCTGTATGCTCGCCCTGAGCAACCGAAGGGCACCGTGAGGAACGGTGACGTTCACAGCAGTGTCATCGCGACGCCTCACGGGTGAGTGAGAAGCGTGTGAGCCCTCGGCACTGACACAAGCGCTTCAGGTGGAATTTAAGAAACTTAATAGATGGGAGAGTCCCGTCCCCATGACGACAGATCTGGCTTCCAGTCAGAATGCCACGGGCTCTTTGTCGAAGTTGCCACTGCAACCCTGGTGCGCGTGCGGGAATGCCGGGGCTGGAGGCCAGGACGTCCTGGACAAGAGCGAAGCTGGAGACGGTGAGGCCGGGGCCATCGGAGGAGAGCCTGCCCCCCGG